CAAATATATATTATCAAACAATCAGGTAGCCTCATTATGATGCATATTTTTACAAGAAAAAATTCACATGTCACCAAATTAATCTTAATACACGTCATAGATGATTATGCTTATAATAGTTATTACCTTTTAATCAATTCACTTTGAGTTTGAGAGAATCATGTTGATAACGTGTTATAAACTAAAGAGAACAAAAGAGAGAAATCAATAAACTTGTGTACTTTATTAAGAACCAAAACCATATATATAGGGAATAATTAGGAATACAATGGTAATAAAAATTAGAGCTATAGGGGTATAACTGTCATAAGTTTAGTTGTCAAAATTCGTCCAGTTTAAATTATAGTGAGTAATTAAAAAAGTTTCTCAGAGTTTAATAAGTAATTAAAGACGATTTACTTACGTGGAGCGTCTCTTTTTGTGATTGGACATTGTTACAAAGAGAAAAATTCTATTCTATATTAATCAAACTTCTCTTGAATGAAAATACACAGATTAAGACTCTTATATAGAGAGACAAAACAATTCAGAATGATCTGCAAGAAAATACAGCCGTAACAAACTTGCCAACTCACGAAAACTAACAAACTTAATTTCTAATACTCCCTCTCAAGATGGACTATAGATGTTAATAAGTCCCATCTTGCTAATTAGTTCTCTAAACTGAGAAGGATGAAGCACCTTTGTAAAAAAATCAACAAGTTGGTTTGAACTTGAGACATGCAAAGTTTTTAGTATCCCTGCTTGTATCTTCTCACGAATTAGACGACAATCAATCTCTATATGTTTAGTTCTCTCATGGAAAATGGGATTCGCTGCTATGTGAAGAGCTGCTTGATTATCACAATATAATAAGGCCGGCTTAGAATGATTTACCCCAAACTCCTTCAACAAAGAAAGTAACCAAGTCACCTCACATGTTGCATTTGCCATAGACCGATATTCTGCTTCAGCAGAGGAACGAGATACTGTCATTTGCTTCTTAGACTTCCAAGAAATCAAGGACTCTCCTAACAACACACAAAAACCAGAAACTGATCTTCTTGTATCAGGGTATGATGCCCAATCTGCATTACTAAATGCTTTAAGTTGAACATCAGGTGATCCACGGAACTGAGCCTCAGCAAAAGCTCTCAATTGAACCGTTGAACTAGAATGGAAGAAAAGTCCTTGACCAGGAGTACCCTTGACATATTGTAAAATTCTCTGTGCAGCTTGAAAATGAGGTAACTTCGGCTTAGATAAAAACTAACTTAATTTGTTTACAACATAAGACAAATCAGGCCAAGTAATAGTTAAGTAAAGTAGCTTCCCAATCAACTTCCTATAGAGAGCAGGATCTGAAAACTCTTTTCCATCTTCTTGACTAAGTTTAACATTCACTTCCATAGGGGTTGCAGCTGGTTTGCAACCCCAAATACCAATATCCACCAAGATATGCAAAGTATATGGTCTTTGTGGAATTGAAATACCTTTTCTAGTTCTAGCAATCTCTAGCCCAAGAAAGAAATGCAATGGACCAAGATCCTTTAGTTTAAACTTAGCATCCAAATTGGATTTCAAACTCTGAACAGTATGTTTATCATTACTTGCTATTATAATGTCATCTACATACACAAGGAGAGCAATAAAAACTCCTCCTTTCCTCTGAATGAAAAGAGAATGATCTGTTGCTGATTGACAAAAACCTTTTTCAATTAAAACACTTGACAAAAACCTTTTTCAATTAAAACACTTGAGAACTTGGCATACCATTCCCATGATGCATGCTTCAATCCATACACGGATTTATTGAGTTTGCAGACTGCATTAGAAGACAATCTTATCTCCCCCTTAGGACTATTTCCTTCAGGTATAGTCATATAAACCTCTTCAGCCAATTCACCATGAAGAAACACATTATTTGCATCTAATTGATGCAAGGACAATCTATGAATAACGGCCAAGGCAAGTAGAAATTTGACAGTTACCAACTTTGCTACACGAGCAAAAGTATCAAAGTAATCCACCCCTTCCTGTTGAGAATATTTCTTAGCCACCAAACGAACCTTGTGTCTTTCAATCGTACCATCTGCCTTGAGCTTAATTTTGTAGACCCACTTACAGCCAATAGCATGAAAACCAGGAGGCAAAGGAACAATAGTCCAGGTATGATTCTACTCTAAAGCTTGCAGTTTTTCTGACATAGCACGATCCCATTCAAGTATGCCATGAGCTTGTGAGAATGTAGTAGGTTTATGAATGCTAAAAATGGACATGAAAACAGCCTTAAAATGTCCTTTCAATCTTTCATAAGTAAGTAAATTGGAGAGGGAATGAGAAGTATAAGAAATAGAAGTAGTATGGGACAAAGAACTACAATGATAATCCTGTGAATAACTTGGCTTCTTAACATTATGTATGGGACGAGAAGAAACATGAAGATTATCAGAAGCTGTAGAAGAAGGTAATAACTACTCATTTGTGAAGAGAAAGAAGAAACATTCTGAGAAGGGACAATAGGTTGAGAATCCATATCAATAACAGGCAGAGACAACACAATTTGAGGGAAAAAAGCTTTATAAGCCAGAGGAAAAATGTTCCCATGAAAAACAACATCTCGAGATATAACCACTTTATTAGATTCCAAATCAACATCACAGAAATGAGATTGTATCTGAAAGATGGCACAAACAGTACTTTATGAAGAACCAGAGAAGGAGTAAGACGAATAGTGCCAATTCTAGAGATATCCACATTATGACCATTAGGAAGTATAACAGAACTTGTCACAGTAACATCATCAAAAGATTCAAAGAATCTTATATTATGACATATATGATGTGTTGCTCCTGAATCAACAATCCAAACATGGTCTGGTATGAGAGAAATACCAGTAAAATTAGAGACAATGGCTGTTGTTGTTGGTTTGAGTAAACCTGAGATTGAGAGCTTGAAGAGACGTCCTGCAGCTGTGTACTCAGTAAAGAAATTAGGGCTTGACATTAATTGGCAGATAAATAGCTCAAAGAGAAATTAGTAGAATTAGTAGAATCAGCAAGCACGTTCGCCTGAACAACATTAGTCTTTGAAGTACCAGAAGACCATTTATTGGACCACCTATTCTGACCCCCTTCCTTAGAATGAATATTGTACTGACTTTTAGATGTGAATCTAGGCGGATAACCATGATTTTTTAGCATTTATCAATAGTATGACCAAAGTAACCACAATAGGTACATACAGGTTTCTCACGATTTCCTTTAGAGGCATTATAATTGTTAGAATGGACTCCATAAGCTGTAGAAAGAGGAAGGGCTGAAGGAAAAATCGCAAATCGCTGCCTTTCTTCTTGGATAACCAGAGAGAAAATCGTGTTGATTTGTAATGGATCAAGCATAAGAATCTGAGCACGAATATGACTAAATGATTCATTTAGGCCCATCAAGAATTACAGGACATAATCTTGATGTTGATAATCAATTAAATCCTTTATTCCATCACAATGACAAGCAGGAAATGGTCTAAAATCACTCAATTCATCCCAAAGTGTTTTAAGTTTGGTGAAATAGGAACTAACATAATTAGAACCTTGAACAAGAGCATGAATCTGCTGCTTTAACTGAAAAATTCTTGGACCATTACTCTGATGAAATCGTTCCTGTAAATCATTCCACATATCACAAGCATTATTAACATACATTATACTATCTGCAATGTCCATAGAAACAATATTGAGTATCCAAGACATGACCATGTTATTGCATCTAAACCAAAAGGAAAGCAAACGATCATCATCCTCAGGCCTATATATAGATCCATCCACAAATCCTATCTTATTCTTAGCAATAAGTGCCATAGACATTGCACGGTGCCAATAATTGTAATTAGGACCAAGCAATTGATTAGAAACCAAACTCAATCCTGAATGATGTGCATTACTGAGATAGAAAGTTCTATTGGTGTCCTTTGTGAAGGATAGATCACTTTGATCCAAACTGGAAAAGTAGTTTTCATTGCCTCCAACTCGTCCTCCATCATTGTGGTTTCCACTTTTATTACCACCACGAGCACCTCCACCTCGTGCCATAATTGATCAAGAGAAAAAAGAAAATCGATCAAGAAGTAGCGGAGCAAATTGTTCTCTGATACCATGTTAGAGAGAAATTTTGTTCTATATTAATCATAATTCTCTTGAATGAAAATATAGAGATTAAGACTTTTATATAGAGAGCCAAAACAATACAGAATGGTCTAGAAGAAAATGTAGCTGTAACAAACAGCAAAACTAACAAACTTAATTTCTAATAGATATCTAATGTTGATGGAGCTCGAGCTATGAAATTTGTCTGGCAGGGCAGCTGTTTTGTTAGAGAGGCGAAATGAAAGTGATGCAAGTGAGTAATGTTGAATATTTGTGAAGTTCAGTGACCAAAATTTAACATCTCAAACTAGAGTGAGCGAAAAAGCCATTTATTTGGACAATTAACTAAGCAGCCAATCATGTAACGCTGATGATTTCCTCGTTCGACATTTGAAAATGAGGATACCAGATACCTTGTTGGCAGCAAAGACGAAGACAAAAGGCCTCCTGAATATAATTTACAGGAATAGACAAGCTGGGATTTCATTGATGCAAAAAAGAATTGCTGTAACTGAGCATGAAATTATTATAAACTGGTTTTCTATCCAGCTTTGCTTGTCCTATTCTGATTACAGCCCGACATAACATTCATCGTCTTCTCCAATGTTTAATCCTTGTAGATATCGTCGTCTCAAATATACCCATATCTCCTTAAATGCCCCTTGTTCTTACCATCAGCCATTTACTTCTTGATTGAATTTGGAATCTTTGCTCAGCCGAATCTTAATTCTCTTCTTTCTTTGTTTTTCACAGCCGCCTCTTTTCATTTTCACTTTCATATTTTCCACCAAACCACTAGGTGGAATTGGGTTGACAGCAGGGCATTTTCCGATCTACCCTACAGTTGTTCGACGAAATTCCTGTTGTTTGGTGAAAGATGGAGGGTTCATTAAGGTACAATAGGAGAAGAAGTGGATATGAGCCATCGGATACTGAAAATGAGTGGCCAAACAGTCCCAGGCGTGAGCGGGACACCAATGTAGAATTTGAAAATATGGGCTACGATCAAGGTAGGAGCACTAGCCATTTGAGGACCCTTAAATTTGAGGCTCCTCCTCGAAGAAGGCATAGTAAGTCCCCGTATAAACCTCGTGGAGAAGATGGTACTGCTCGTTCGCCCTTACATAATTCTGATTTACGTAGAAATATTAGCCCACTTTCACGTAGAACACATTCTGTTGGTGAAAATGTTGGTCCATTTTCAGAATCTGAAAGCAGGACTAATCCTGATTATAGAGAAAATGTTGGTCCATTTTCAAAATATGAACACAGAACCAATTCTGATGGAAGAGGAAATCTTAGTCCATTTTCGAGATCTGAGCGCAGCACTAATCCTGATGACCGAGGAAATGTTAGCCTGTTTATATCAGAACGCAGGAGACATATTTCTCCATACAGACCTGGTGGAGAGGACCATGGTCTGAATGGTGATAAGATTGTCACCAGTGGTCGAAAGCAAAGTCTTAAATTGGCTAATCAAGATGTGAGGGTGAGTGAGAAATCCAATCATAGTAGGAGAGCAGTTTCAGCTCCTAGATCAAATTTGAGAGAGATGGGCCAAAAGATCAAGATCAAGTATGAATATGATCGAGGGGAACAAAGAAAAGAGTTAGATGCTTCTCATAAACATGGACCTCCAGTTGGTGAAATCAATGAAATTGTTGCAAATGCCAAGATTTCAAAATGGTTGGAAACGCCTACTCCCAACTTTGACAGCGCAGACTCCATCTCTCCCGGAGACATTTTCTTTTCGCGGGAATATACTGCCTTTCCGAACTCTATCTTTCCGCCAAATGGTGGTGTTGATCAAAATGGATCTCACCCAAAGCCTCAAGTTCTTGTAGATCGAAATCCCAGTTCTCATCTAGGCAATAAGGTGAATTTGAATTTCAACCATAATTCTAGGTCGATGTCGCAAACAACTACAAACTCTAGTGCTGCTGTAAGTAGACAGAGCAGTAATGTGAGTGACTCTAGCGGCAGGACTAGTGCAAGTACAAAAAAATTCGTAGCCAACAGGAGAAAGAGCCAAATAGAACCATGGTTTTCTTGCCTCAAGAAAGGGTCTTGCCGGACCTCCAACAAATCTCCAGAAAAAGACAGGCCTTTTGATGAAACTTCATTTATTGAGAAGGCAATCGTGATTGAGAACCTGAGACCATTTTGGGCTGATAAACATCAGCCTGCTTCATTGAATGGATTCACTTGCCACAAAAAAGAAGCTCTGCTTCTTCAGCAGCTTGTAAGTGCCTTTTAAGTTCTGATTTGGATTCTGGCCTTCTATCTCTAATAATTAAATTATCATGTAAATGCATAATTTTTTTCTTTTTTGGGTAACTTATATGCTGAATTATAGAATTCAACTCTGGTAATATTTTGGAGATTAGAAATCATAGCTTTTTTTTTACCCATCCTTTATTTTTCAGTTGTAATTTTTAATAATTTCATTTTCTTTTTGCACTTAGGCATGCAATGTAACCTTCCCACACATCTTGCTGAAGGGACCTCCTGGTGCCGATAAAAAGGCACTGACTGTGGCTCTTCTCCGTGAAATATATGGAGAACCTGTTTGGAATGTATGCTACCTTTGTTCCCAAATACATAAATAAAGTGATCTGAATGAATTTTAGATGCCTGACTAAAGCTTCACCTCATTTTCTTTCTTTAATTTGCAGATATCCCATGATTTAAGATACTTCCATATTCTGGTATGTTTGACTTTTGACATATTTTTTTCATACTTTCATGCCTATCAGCAATCTAATATAAAATATATCCAAATACTTCAAGAGGCAACCTGAATTCTTGTTCTACATTTTTATCTTTCCAAAATCCAGAGTCGATCAAAAGTTCGCAAATTGCTGACAAAAATCTTAAGACTTGCATAAGTTCAAGCAAAACTTTGGGGGCCTTATCATACAGCTCACGCACTGTCTTTTAATCTAGATATTTTCTTTAGATCTTCTTTACTATCTCCGACCTTATAAGTTTATATATTTTCCCTGTGCTTCGTCAATTTTAAATAAAAATTTGGTTGGAGTTAACCGTGTTTGGACAGGAATAATATGTGTTGACATAGAGGCGACCACGAAACCCATTAAGAGAAATAAGTTGTCCGGTAGATCGATGGGAATATCACTGTAAGTGCTGTAAGTATATTTTAGCCGAGAGGTGAGAGTATAGGATATTGAACGGTGTCAAGGTTCTGGAAAATTTTGCCCAAAGGGACAATGATATATCTATGAGAAGCTACACTTGATATTGCGATGACGTTTTTAAACTTGGGACAATGGTCAAGGAAAATAGTCCACTTGATTAAATAGTTCTCTGAGGGTTACTTATTAAGGTTGATCTACTCCTTCTTCCAATGGAAACATCTTTGTTAAGGAGTAAACCAAAAATTTTAGGCACTGGATTGTCCTGTTCTGGTAGCATGGCATGCAACCAAGATGGAGACATGCCATAATCTACAGCTGAAATTAAAACATGTTTCAATGAATACACCACAACAAATTTACATTACAGTCCTAACCTAATAAAAGATAAATATGAAGAAAAAAAATACAATATTGTGTTGTAATCCCTATCCCAATATTATTCCTCATTTTTCTCACCTTTCCCATCCACCTTGAACAACTCTATGGGCAGCAAAATCTTATCAATTTTTTAAACTGCCAATGAATCTTCATCAATCAATGCCCCTTTAATAGTCACAATCATGACTTTAGTCTTCAGTTTCACATCTTCTCCATCGTTTTGTAATGTAAAATCGTACTTATTGGCTTCCTCTGTAGCTAGTGTAAGTGTTATGCCCAACTTTGGACATAAACACTTTAAATATATATTCGATGCATATCTATGGCAATATCTATTATTTAATTGAATTAATATTCTAATAAATTAAATAACAGAATCCGTATATTCAAGTTTTGGTGATTTGTTAATCACAAGGAGTTGTGATTGTGAGATACAAATTACATATGACTTAATCTTAAATCGTCCGTGGTCGAAGTAATAACGAGATACGGATATCGTTATTACGGATAGACCATCGCGTGTTGCATTCTTACTTGTGAAGTAAGTAGCTAATCTCACAAGCTAAAATATGGTGACACTTGAATGAACACGTGGATGTTTTGTTATAGAACAAAACATTGGAGACTCGCTGGGAGATTCCACATGGATAACTATCTAAGTGTTAGT